TGTACTTATGACTTATGTATGCTACATAGTACAGAGGGGGAAAAAAAAAACGTAAACCTAACATTTGTGTTCGTAAGTAAGATATTATTTTCACATCCAATACCCAATTCTGATGTAATACTTAATAATAAGCAGCTGATAAGACTGCGATTATATCTTTATCATCTTTCAAATCAACAAAGGCCTGTTTGTTTACACCGTGCACACGCATCATTGTCTGTGGTGCCAGGTAAAACAGTGCACATATTTCACTGCTGAACTCTGATTGGACAACTCACACTCTGATGTTGTATCCAAATAAACGGGCTGTAAACACACACACACATTCACACGCACTCTGTCGCCGTGGCAGCGGTAATAAAGTCTGCGATCGACCGCTGGACTCACAATGATAAATGACCCCCAGCTCCACACCACAAACAGAGGAGGGACGAGAATGGACAGAACGGGGCAAAATAACACACAAAGAAGTGCACTGGCAAGAACACACAAATACTAGATAATTAAAATAAAACAATGAAGAAAATAAGGTTTACTTAAGGACAGTGTCAATAATAATTCACAACAAATTGATGTTTTAAAGGGCCCTTATTACACTATTTTCTGATCTATGCTATAACACAGAAAATAAAAATACATAAAAAACTCTGGATTTAAATAATTTCTACCCTGAAATTGCAAATCTCTCCTGAACAAAAGGCAAAAGGTAACTGCATGACAGCACAAGATGGAACAGAGCATTTTGAGCTTTGGAGGTGTAGACAAACTAATAATAAAGGATTACTCAAACATGAATAAAACAAAAAACAACTCCAGGAATGTTTGTGGTGAGGTAATAATTATAACATGATCTAAATCTCACAAGAGTAAATTTTGCGTAATATTGGCCCTTTATAGCTTGCTTTTTTTTTTCTTTTTATAGTTTCATAGTTTACTAAAAGTGTTTTTTTTTAATAAAATGCAAAAATAAATATATATGAATAAAAATTTATCAATACCAAATGTAAATACGGTAACAGTAACGTTATATTGAAAAGTATTGTATAATCAATATGTTCCTATATTGCTTGGGGGTAGGCTCATTAGTCATAGTAATAATATTATTCATTTTTTCCCATGTGTATTATTAAGACAGGCTTATTGAAATTGCACCCAACCTCTCCCATTGCCTTCTATTGAAATCATGACATAACGCTGCTTAAAATAAACGCGGGCAGTTAAAAGATATGATACCAATTCAATTTTTATGAGCTACGGTCATTAATGCAGCGTTGGGGTCAGAAGGCATATCAATAATTTTGATTTTTTAAGTTATTTATAGATGCAATTAATGGAAGTAGAGACCTCATTAGTTTGAGAGTAAGAGCTGCAAATTTAATGTTAGCAAACACTATCCCTAGTAACAGGAATACTGCAGACATGTACAGAAATATGACACATAAATAGTATCAATTAGGACTGGGAATCGCAGGGTCCCTCACCATTTGATACGATGCACAATAGATGATACGATATTATCACGATATAATGCGATAATCGACATATTTCACATAATATTCTACAATATATCACTATTTTTAAAAAAACAAATATATTTTTACAACAGTATTTCTTTGTTAACCCCCCACTGCACTACTGCAAAGCCAATATGGAATAAATCAGTGGTAACATTAAAACAGTGAAGATGTCAAGTTTATTGCATAAACAAGTTTCTTTTCTCTGAACAAACACCATAATTGTAGCACTCTCACAAAATAATTTTGTAAAATATACCGAAAAAATACAATATCAATACAGCAGCCCACGACAATGATACTGTATCACCAAATTTAGAATTACGATATATCAATATTTTAGCAGACTGTATCTGTGCATTCAGGATCATACGACTAGGATAGAATAAATAACTAAATATCAATCATATAAGCACATGGTTAAAATTTTGAAATAAAATGTTGATGCAGATACAAATTTTAAATATTTTAGAAGAAGTGTTGCCGTTTTTAAATTCTATCCCTTCAATTTATGCTACAAATTGTACTGCTGATTATAACATGAATAATTAGATTTTCTTTGCTTGATATTGTCTATTGTAATACAAGAAAACAGAAAAGCATTGCAACTCTACCCAATTAACCTGCTCCACACCTGAAAATATGTGGCACGGAATTTCTGGAGACCTGTCAAAGATACTATTTCCTTTTTGTTTACACTCCCCTCAGCAGCACAGGAGCGCCACAGTCCCTCGTGCTAACAAGACCTCCTCCTCTTCTCTCTCTCCCTCTCCTCCCACCTCCCCTTTTCTCCTTCTCTCCCCCCAGTGCAGATCTGAGAGTGCGTTCGCTTGTGTGAAAATGATTCAATTACAACTTGCTCTGACTCAGGCTTTACCAGAACCTGCATCTCGCATCAATTATTCTATCAAACGCTTTGGCTTTCCGCAACTATTTCCTGTACTGTGTCTCTGAGCCGCTAATTGAATTTATGGTAAACTGGTTGACTGAGATTGGCTGAATTGATTTCTTGATTTTAGCTTTGTCCCTAATTTCAGTTTAAGAGACACTAATGGGGTATAGAAGCATGCGATACAATGTTTTTGAGGCTAAAGAGGACGTAAAAACCTTAATAACAACAATTTTACAATAAAAAAGCTTTCCATTTGGCCTGTTTCCTATGGGTTACCAATTTTAAGACCCAATTTAGGGCACATTATAATACTGAAGGCAATTGGAAAATGTATGTCACTCTTAACCTGTGTCTACTTGCACAAAAGGTAGAGACTGGATTAAAATTTTTGAATCTATAGAACTGCAAATTTTGACCTAAAACTAGGAACTAGGAAAATAAACAATGATGATGCAAATTGAATATAGTCATGATATGAGTAACACAATAGCCCTTATATTTAGAGTCTATAACAGTGTCAGTATAGCGCCAAAGCAGAACAGTGGACATTAATCTACATTTTATCACATGGTCCAAGGTTATATAGAGGGTATAGGTTACTTATTGATTGTACATTTACAACATGAAATGACGTACATCCCACATTTTAAGCTATTGATTTTTTTCAATTGATTTTTAAAGCCAAGTCTATATACGGGGCCATGTTTGGATCTAGGAATAACACTGTGTTCTGTCATGTGCACCTACAAGGACTTGTTAGTGCAGCTCAGTTACATGTTGGGTATTTTAGAGTAGAGATACTACAAAGTGCAAATGCCAGTTACTGAACTCCATGTTTACTTTCTTTACATTTACAAAAGTCATTTCTTCCAGTCCAGTTTGGAAAATAAATGATAAATTCCTGTAGATTCGATAATTTGTGCTTTTATCATTTTGGATTTGTTAATATCTCCACTAATACTTGAAAAAATATATATGTTAGTTTGGCCTGCTTACAACTTAAAGGTGCATTGTGTAACTTTTCTGGTGAAGGGTCTGTCAAATGCTTGTGTCCATAGAGATGTTATTGTCTGGAATTTTCACAGTAATGTATTAAACATTTCTATCGTCATGGAGATCAAACCAGACCAAGTTACAGGTAAGATCTGTGGAGACACAACACCACAGTCAGAGTCAGAATGCCTGTTTTTATTGGCATTTTTGAGCTATAAAACCAAAAAATTTTACACATTTAAGGTAGAGCTGTTTAATGCCATACTGTGGAAAGTTCCAGGCATAGCAATGACATCTCCGTAGAAACAAGCAGGGACAGCTTCCCAACCAAAAAGTTACATAGTGCACCTTTAACATATGACCTACACTCTGATAATCACCTAAAGGCTATTTTATTAAGACAGAAATACTTAAGCAAAACATTGATGTATTTGAAAAGTACTAACCACATCCAAAATTAACACAAATATTCAGCCAATAATAAGTCACTATAATCCCACAGGTGTCAACCACACTCAGCTTCATGTTTACATGGAAAGTCGTTCCCACGGCGATCAGGCACATCACATGACCATCACATGATCGCTACCAGATGCAGCAGGAGCCTAGCTGTCGACCCTAGCTCAATTACATCACCTCGCTTACTGCACCCATTCAAGGACCACGCCCCTCACCCATTGATGTCACAGCTCTCTCTGCCAATCGTGACCCAGCCCTTGCATCAGCTGATCATGAGGTCGCGACCCCTGCTTGTTCAAATTGGAATCAACTTTGAAACACATATGCGCTCAGTGGAATGCAGTGTAAGATGACAGTTTATCAAAGCATGGCGTGCCTTTTGGTGTTAATTGTTTACATGTGCGTCTTTGAATGCGTCTCGTGTTTTTTCATGTGATAAACAAATAATAAGAAGTGGCTGTGTGATCTGGAGAGGATTCAAATGCAGAGATTACAACCGGGGTTAAACTTCACACATGCACTAGAGTTCACTCAAAGGAATGACAAACCACTAGAGAGCTGAAAAATAAACATTAATTCATCATTACTCTCTTCTGAAGTTTACATCCGTGTTTCTCTCAGTGTTGCTTGGTGTCAAAGGCATAAAATGACACCAGTGCAAGTTTTCAATGAGCTTAAGAAACACAGACTCTTTGTGAAATGTACAAACAAAGGCTTGGAACAAAAGGGAGGTTATTCGGTGGTGACATACAGTGTTTCAATGGTAGTTAATAGTTGGACAAACAACACTTCTACACCACTAAACTTCTAAACACAAGATCCTCTGTTGCATATTGTTAACGTCATAGCATAATTGCCTATGTCATTTTTCATAGTTTTTCATAGTATTGTCTTATTTTATCATTCACTGAGTTTACATGCAGTCTTTAGTGATGGTTATGAAAATGTTGCTGTGTATTTAGACTCAACCTGGACATACTAGCAGATACATCACAGAGCTTTGATATAAGGGCCACTGTTAGACTATTTTGTTTCTATAGAATAAAGTGTAGTTCAGAAAAGAGCATATCCCAAGCCCAACCCCCGTCTTCCTTTGTGTCCAGTTAAATGTGTCCGTGAGCGTTCTAATTGTGAGGTGGTACCTTGGGCAGCCTCTCCGGGTCCCCAGGGTGCCGAGGGATAACTTTCTGAAGCCTCTGGAAGCCGTAGTCTATGGTGGGCTCGTTTAACGCTGCACAGGGCACAGAACAGAAGAGAAAAGATAATTAGCACAAAATCCACTTTCAGAGCACCAACTTCATTGAGTTGTATTCAGATAGATTCAGTAAATGAGCACTTAAACTTTCTGGAGTATCTCTAACCATGTATTATCCACTGATACAATGCTTCAACAAGTGATAGTGCTGTTCACATAAACTTTAATTAGTGACTATACAAGTCTATCTGGTAATAGGTCTTAATTGGGCCTGTCAATTTATAACTTTTACTATGGAGGAAAAAAAAAACTTTCTAGATAAAATAATAACCCTAGAGACTCCTTTACTAGACTGCTGCCCTATTGTAGATGTCTATTGTTGCATTCAGGACGAATGAAACCTATTAAAAATCACTGAAACAAAGCAAGAAAGACCAGAACTGTTTTTCAAATGGACGGAATTATCAGCATGGGAGATAACATCAAACTCTTTAAAGTGGTTAAGTTCAGGGCATACACTGGGTCATGGCTGGAATTGGACCATCAACCATTACTATAATGAGCAACCAGTTTAGAAAAATAAAAGCACTGTGCATATGACAAAAATATAGGACAAGACAAGCACATCCTCTATAGCTACTACAGTATTGACCATAGCCTGCTCACACTGTTTTCAGTGTATTTTTGAGCAATAAAAACATCAGTAATTGAATAAATACAAGATAGATGCCTATAATGTCACATTGGGAAACGTTCTAGACAAAGTAAAAACATCACCAGATGGGATAACCTCCACCAGAAAAGTTACATATTTGAACCTTTAACATAACACTGAAACTTCATTTATTAACAATTGAAAGGATGCCATTTGGAAAAGATCATAGGTTATTTTTAAATATCTTCATGTATACATATATCTATGTCTTAAAACAGCACTCACGTACATTAGTTTATAGTACAGTGTGGATATTAAATGAGGTCCTATGTAAAGTCCCATGTAAATAATGCTTCACCCATCTGTCTACATCTGTGCGTATACGTATCTGACAGTAAATGTTTGATGCAAATGCTCTGAGATGGCGGCAGCCAAATTAACCACAGTAATAGAGTCATTGTGCACTTGAGTATATGAGAGGAGACAAAAGCGCCCATCCCATAATAACTCGTCAGGTATGATTTACAAAGGGATCGAAAAGGTTTTAAAAGACACTTAACGCTGCCTTTAATGTTGCAATTACTTTCTTCATGCAGCTTTCACCAATCAATACGTCAATCACAGAGCACTCACAGCCTGTCACTCGGATGTATTACCCACACATATGCTTAAAACACCGCCATCTCTGTAATGTGGAGAGAATGTTGAGTAGTAATGAAGGGAAGAATACTCAAAATCTTAAAGAGTATGTGGCACCAGAAGGTCCCATTGTTGATTTTTTGAGAAGAAAACATAGAGATAAGAAGACTTCAGAATTTGGTGCATTCACTTTAAAGAATGCACTGGAAAAAAAGTTACGTGAGATTGAAATCAAAATGAGAGAAAAAGTAAAACTTCTGTTTAAAAAAATTAGAAAACATTAAAAATTACAATAACTGTGTAAAAATGTGGAAAGATGAAGTGGAGAGCAAAATAAGAAAATCTATGCACAAGAAACCTCTTCACTTTAAAGATGCAACTGAAATATGTGAACTGAAACAGCTCCACTCTCAGAACTCTTTGTCTCAACAGTCTGATCCTTCACCAAATAACCCCACAACATGGGACAATAATGGAGTAATCCAAATACAACCAAAAGCAAGCAACTTCTCAGGACTCAAAGCTCCACCATCCCCATCACAATAGGGCTCTTCATCCAGTACTCAGAGCCATGCTGAAAAAGCAACGCTCACTATGCCGATGGTTTAAGTCTTTGGTCCACAATGGATTTCTTCTGAAATATCTGCAGCATTGCAACATCTGCCGAATTCCACAACATAGGTCAGACTTTTCCAAAAGAACTTATCGCCTTTTCAAAATTTCAAGCCCACTATGAGTGAACTGAGGAGAGTGTTGGTCACGAAAATGAAACCTAATGAATGGCACAAAATAGCAACTTCAGAACACTGAACTGCGATGCAATGATGTGGATTGGAGCCATGACTCCAATGCTTTGTATAGAGAGTCTGTGAACTACATCTGCACAGCTATCACAAAAGACTTTCCTGCCTCCATCGACACAGACAAAATCCAATCCTGCAAACAAAGAGACACTGAGGACCCTGAAGAGTTTTTCACACCTTTAACAGAAGTGTGTAACACCCACAGTGGGTTTATAAGACTTGATCACTTAGGTGTGACTCGTGATGTTTGGGAAACATACTTGTGTAAATACTTTATCAGTGGACTAAAAACAGACATTTATTTAGCTGTGAAGAAAACCTGCACTGGCTGGAATGCTGCTCGTCTAACTGAACTGAAAGGACACGCCACACATGCCTATCAACAGCAACTGAGAAAGAAAATAATGAAGCTGAACATGGGTTTAGTTTTGCTACATTTTACTTTCTATTATCTAGCATTGGGACTATGTGAATTTGTTCTCCAGAATAGAAGTAAGCAAAGCAGAAGAGTTATTACAGCTAAACAGTGAACAGTCAAACAGCTGAAAGTCCCTGCTCTTTAGCGAACAGTCACTAGGTGAAACTCCTATCTAGGATTACTGACTAGAAAAGGGTGAAATTCCCCATGTAGTTGAATGTTAAGACAGGCCAAGACATCCTCATGAGGGAGAGTAAATTCAACGGAGCACGGTATCTCCATCTCCTTCAGGTTTATCAGTTGAGATATTATGTAAATGTAAAATGTATTTAGGAAAATGCTAATTTATGTCTGTAATGAACTGTGGAAAAAACAAAAAACAAAACAGAAGTTGTTTCTGATTTACATACAGAAAATTGTGCTGAAGTACAGTGTGACACCAGAAGTCAACCATATGTTTGTGTGTCCTTGGGACCTGATCAGTCAAACTGTATGTTATAGATTGTGCAGTGTTAGAAAATCTGTGTTTAACATTTGAGCATGTGTCAACAGTGTGAGCTAGAAAATGATAGGATGCAGTTAACTGATCCACTCATTTTTAGAGTTCCTTGTTTCTTTATATATAGATTTTTTTAATGTGTATTGAAGGGGTGACTGGAGAGAGGAGACTCACGACAGGCTGTTGGTCTCTGGCCAGGGCAGGCCTAGGCCTTTTATCGGCTCTAACAAGAATAAACCTTTGTCTGTATTCAACAAACTCATCGGGCTTAGCAAATGGATTAATATTTATCATCAAAAAGATATATACATTATATATACACAGCAGAACAGTACAAAAAAGCTTTAACATCTCAATAAAGACAACCAGGTGATACAACCTTCACCACAAAAGTTCCATAGTGCAGTAAAGGGCCCATTTAGCATTATTTTCAGATCAGGATTCAAATGATGTTGTTTTCTCATCAAAAACATACCTGGAGTTGTGTTTTGTTACATTCACACATGTTTAACACTCAAACCCGGATATTTACACAGTGTTCTTCTCTGTTCCACTTTGTAATGTCATGTGGTAATACAGGAAGTGCTCCACTAAACCTTACACCTTCACTAGAATCATTTGGAATTGTCAACCAACTAAACAAAAGGTAAAATGTAGTTGAGCTTTGGACATGTGGACAAACTAACAAAGATTTACTCAAACATGTGTGAATGAAACAAAACATCACTCAGGTATGTTTTTCATGAGGTAACAACATTCTAACATGTCTTAAAGCTCACAAGAGACAGTTTTGTGTAATATAGAACCTTTAATAGAAGCTAAAGTAGTTCAGGATCAGTGCGAAGAAAATGTTCTCACAAACCATTAGAACTATCCCATTACCTTCCGGCCCTGCTAAATCGAGGTAGTAGGAGTACGATCCACAGCTGGAGAGAGGTTTGGTACTTTCCGCACAGATAGATTACTTCCAGATGAATCTTCAGTATGTTTTATTATCAACTCACACCCAACTTTCTGCTTTCTGTTATGTCCTAGACCCGCTCAATTTGTTAGCACCACGACTGCATAAATCCAGAACTGTGGACAATACCAGATGTTCAACCCGGGAACAAGTCACAGCCCTCTCCAAAGAAGTCATATTTCATCATTTGTGGACGTTTACACATTTTATGATTCATATAAATTACAGGCATCTGACAAAACTAGAGTGAAAATGGAAGTATACAGAAATATCTCACAGGCACGTGTTTGAGCTATGAGTTGGCTGCTAAAATGTTGAGGTTACATTTTTTAGCGAGTAATCTTAAAGTGACCAGCTCGTATTTCGCTAAAGAATTTAAATACGAGATAAACTTGTGTAATCTGGTGATATTCTTGCTCCAGCACCATTATAAAAAATCTTCACTTATATCTGTATCTTGCAACATGCATCAAATGCATTGCATAAGCCATACATGTTTAATAATGCATTTCTATTTGTTTAGGGAGTTAAAATGGAATAACATAAACATAACAAATGATATATTTTTAATGGTTAGGAGACTTAATGTACCAGAACTTTCTCTGTCAATACAAGGACTACTCCATGGGCTGGAATCTGGCCAGAAAACACAAACTCTATAGTTAGAGTAGCTTATTTGGAAAATGGTAAATTTTCCAGAAAAGTATTACAACTGCATAAGCGATTTCATTTTTTTTTTCAAAGCTCAAATGTTACCTTAATAACTACAGACTTTTACTAATTGCCATTTAAAGGTTCTATATTACACAAAACTGACTCCTGTGAGCTTTAAGTCATGTTATAATGTTGTTACCTCATCAAAAACATACCCGGAGTTGTGTTTAGTTTCATTCACGCATGTTTGAATAACGCTGCATTATTAGTCTATCTCTAAAGCTCAAAATGCTCTGTTGCACCTTGTGATGTGATGAAGTGGTAGTTTGCAAGTTAACAGCTTCTTTTTACCCTTTGTTCAGTAGAGATTGGCAATTCAAGGGTTGACATTATCGAAAAGATTCTAG